CAAGACCAGCGAATCCTTTGAAAGCTCTTAAGAGCTCAAGAAGCTGAAAAAAATACCATGGACGAGTGTTTCTTTCCGTTCTTTCCAAGTTTGCACTTAATACAACAACAGGTTTTAACCAGCTCAGAAAACCAAACAAGTCAAAGGCTCTTGCAATCAGTTCTACCATTTCTTATTGTCAGTGCTACTTCCCCTCAAATTACCTTGCAAGACCATTCCACTAAATAGGAAAGGTCTTAAAATATTCCTTAGCAGCCCCTGCATCAGAGACTATCTCAGGGTTTTCTGTTTGTGGTGGTTTTTTTTTTAATCCTCTCTATCTACTTCCCAAATACCTGGAAAACCTGCTTAATGGAGATTCCTCACTGTTGAACAAGACTGCCTTCAGTATTCAACCACAAAAGGAAATTAGAGACCTTTAAAACATGAAAAGGTGATTGGGCTTTTGTTGCCCCATTATTAAGTTGACAGTTGGACTCGATGATTTTAAAGGTCTTTTACAACCTAAAAGCTTCAATGAGTCTATCCCAGTAACCCACAGGTGTCATTGAGGCCCCAGGTTTAAATGTTTCTGACCCTATTCTTCTGCACAGGACCTCTTGTTGATGAGATTATGGGTTTTCTTTTGCCTATTTAAATCCACAGCCCTCTCTTTGGGATGCTGATTTTCTCCCCTCCATTATTTATCCCAGATGAGAAGGCTCAGCCAACACCATCACCTTCCCACTGCTCAGAAAAAGGTTCTGTTGCCAAAAGCACATAAGATTCTTTTAAAATTCTCATTAATCATGGCCTGTAATCCCTGGGATCCTGCCAGGCTCTGTGGTTTTCCTGGTGGTCTCCTCCTTCAACTCTCACAGATAAATTATGCCCTAAACTAGTTTGGTGCCTGGAGGCCAACACAAAATCCCAATCTCCTTCTTGGGCTGCTCCTCCCAGTTTAATCTCCCCCTGATTTAATCTCAAACAAACATCTTGATCACTTTCAGGAGCTTTACTTTCTTGGAAGAGTTAAGACCCGTGTTTTAGGGCTCCCTTTCAGGGCTAACACTGGTTTTCTAGCCCCAGACTCCCTGTTTGTCACAGAGAAAAAGCAGTGCCCACGGACATGTCACGACCACCTTCTCAGAATCCTTCACCACATCATGATTGTCAAGTGCTCGTGCTCCATTTCCTACAGACAGTCCCCCCCCATGTCATGAGACTGAGGCATAAACTTGTCCTGGGAAAAAGGAGGGGAAAAAAAAATCAGGATTTTAAAGACTGCAGAAGGTCTGAAAGGAGCAAACACAGTGGCAGCTGTGAATGTTAGACAGCAGCAAATTTCTTGCTGGTTGTGGAAGCATTAATTAGCACATCTAATTATTATGAACCATTAGGATGCCCTTGCTAATGTTAACCAGCTGCAGTGAATGAGCTGAGCTCCTGAATAAGAGGAGAGATGGGAGCAGGTAGAAAACTTCAACTCTAAAATTAAACCCTCTTCACAACCAGCATTTATTTCTCTACCTTTCCTCTTACCAAAGGCACTTTACAGCCAAGGCAAAGGGTGGATGGAAAATTCGATTAAAATTTTATCTAAAGCCATTTTATCAAAAAGGGTTTGTCATGCGGGAGAGAGAAAACTCCACTGTCCCATGGAGTAAAAAGCAAAACTATTTTTGTGTCTGGAGCAGAATTTAAGCTCTGAGCTGCCATGGGCAAAACAAGCACTTTAACCTGGCCAGGTTTTTTTGTCTCAGTCATTTCTCCTCTGCATCCCCTGCTCTCTTTACCATTTAAATACACAGATCCTCCTTGCCCAAAGGTCATTTTACCACACAGCAGGCCAGAAATCAGAAGGTAAAAAAAGAAATGGGAATAATTTGAGAGCTGAGCTCCTGCCTCCCCTTGCATTTGTTCAATTCTGACATCTAGTGGGCATCAGTGCAAAGCAGGAGCAGCGTGGCCAAGCTCACCAACAGCCTGAGCACTAGCTACTGATTTATTCTGCCACAAAGGATGTTCTCCACCCTCAGCACAGCTGTGTCTCCCTAAAACCCTCCCAAGTCTCCGTGTTAAACTTGCACTTGCAGATGAACCACATGCTCAGTCAGAATGGGAAAACGCTCAGGTCCCGATCCCAACATCTCCCTGCTCTCTGAATCAGGACATGGGTTTGGCAATTAAGGCCTCTCCTTTGTTTCTGAGAGATCATCCAGGGGTCAGTCCGAATTAGCAACCTGAGAAGAGGTTGCTGACAGCAGAACATATGCCAAGAAATCTCCGCATTCCTCCAGGATGAGCAATAACCTGCTCTCTAACATGGGTGGGGCTCCATCCAGCTCATGATCTCTTCTCTTTGACACTTTTTTAGGCCAGTTTCACGCAGGACTAACCCCCCCCTTTATTACTGGGAGTTCTACTCATTCCCAGCTAGTCCACATGAACTGAATTTGCTACAGGGCTACCAAGGCACCAGTACCAATCCTGTGGTGGCACAAACCACATCAGTGCCCAGCAACGATCATAGAATCACAAACTGGTTTGGACTGGAATGGACCTTAAAGCTCATCATTTTCCACCCCTCTGCCATGGGCAGAGACACCTTCCACTAGACCAAGTTGTTCCAAGCCACGTCCAGCCTGGCCTTGGACACTTCCAGGGACGGGGTGTCCATCTGTGGTATGATGCCAAAAAGAGGGGCTGGGAAATGAGATGCCATGGCACCCCGGAGCCCAAATCCCACTGTGCTTCCACAAGTCTCGGCTGAAGGGCACGAAGGGAACTGAACCTGTTTTTTCTGCAGCATCACTGGATGGTGTTGTCCTTCACCCATCCCACATCACGGGAATTCCTGCCCAGACACTGTCAGCATAAAAAGTGTTGGGGTGTACAAAAAAACCCAGAGAAAAATGCAGAAAAAGGAGTGATTCTGCCAGGTTTTACTGCTTCTCACAGAGAGTAAAAAGTCAGCAGTTTCCATCCTTCCCCATGGACACACTGCAGTGCTGGAGCTCTCCAGGACACACTGGCTATGCAGGGGTTGGGGGTCCTGCCACTGCCTCTGCCACTGCAGGCGGCTGAAACTGCTCCTGCTCATTCCCCAAATTATTACCCAAGTCCAAATCAACGTAAATCCTCCCCTTTTCTCTCACCCTACGCATTGAAGGGTGGCTATATTTCATCTTCTGGTGAGGCAACACTCAAACTGCCACAAAGACACAGCAAGGCCAGGTCTAATCCCTCATAGCTTTGCTGTCTCCCTTCAGCCATCGCTCGTTTTTTGCTGCCTCAGAGTTTCTGAGCAACCTCAAAGTCTGCAAGAGGAGATTTCTGCTCTGCACATTCCTGCCAGGGCAAGCAGCATCTCGAAGGGCGCGGGGGAAAAACTCCCTCCCTGTCCCTGCTGCTGCATAAATCTCCACTCCCCGAGCAAAATCCGACAACAAAACGCGTGATCTGCTCACGCAGACCCGAGTCTCAGCCGGGGGAGCTGGAGGGGAACATCCATAGCAACTGTCATTGGTATGCTAGAGCATCAAGTGCTTGAGTCAGCTATTTGAGACCAGGAAAACTCGACTAATGCGGACAAAAGAAATATTACTCCCTGCTGCCAGATAAACATCTGCACAGCAGATGCCACGTCAGCTTCTAGGTGTGAAGGCATTTGCATACGTGCAGCAAGGACCAGAATTCATTTTGCTGGGGAAAAAATAAAGGATTTTCTTTGCCTTTTTTTTTTTTTTTTTTTGGTAGAGAAATGCATGTTTGATTATCATGTATCAGCAATATATAGAATCATGGAGTAGCCAGAGTTGGAAGGGACCCACAAGGGTCACTGAGTCCAACTCCTGGCCCCGTATCACTGCTTTTAGGCCAAGAGAACTGTCTGTTGGGAACTGGGGAAAGCAAGAGTGAAATAGGGAGGAGTACAAACCCAGCTGAAGCTGGTCCACGTGTCAATCCACCTTATCCTTCCCAGGAGACAAAGACAGGTCTGCGGGGAACAGCCAAGGAGGTTTTTCTGCTCACTTTCCACTAGATCAGGTTGCTCCAAGCCCTATCCAAGCTGGCCTTGAAGGGCTGATTGTTCCCAGTTCTGTTGAGCGAAGCCAAGCAGAAGCACCCTGGAAAGGTAAAACATCCCTTCCTCTGTTGGACTTCTGCACCTTATCAGCACCTGTCACCTCCTTCTGCTCCCAGCTGCTGCTACAGGTGATCATTGAGGCTCTGACTACGTATCTTTATGCTTTTGCGATAGAAATTCCTACAGATCAGGTCACCTTGCGGCAATGAGCAGGGAAAACGAACTGAGAGCCAAACTGGGTGGGAGAGCTGCTTCAGACAGAAAAATCAGTTGATTTTGACAATGGTATAACTGATAAAGCATTAAAAAACTCAACAAGAACCCCCCCCAAAACTGCACAGTAAACTTTCCCCTCACAAAGAGCTGCAGGGTGGGTTCTGTGCATGGAGTGGAGGGAAAGGGACAAGACTGCTAAGACATGTTTCCCGGGAGAGGAATATACCAGAGGTCTGTTCTAACCTGGCCTCCTTCCAAAAGCCACTAGTACCTGGCAATCACCGTCACCAGCTCCCTCAGCTCCCCACATTAGTGGCCAAGTAGCCATTAAAGACAGATTGCTGGTGGGCTACAACTCAAGCCTTTGGTTTTGTAGCAAGAAAATGGAATTGAGTGAGTTTATTGGTTTGAATAATCAATAATTAGCTGAGACCATTACAGAAAATTACAGAGAGTAACAGAACAAACAGGTGGAATAACGAGCTTCTAATAGCATCATTATGGGATGGTACAAATATCCTCCACGAGGTTTGACTCGGTGTCTGAGAGTCCTCCCAGGGAGATCCCACACATCAGAAGGGGCTCTCGATGGACAAGTGTTTATTTGGCATCTCATGAGCTCATTCAATTGCCATCACAGCAGAAACTGAGTTTGGGAAAAGACTTCTTTTCATTGCAGAATAGTTTTTCACAAAAAAAAAAAAAAAAAAAAAAAGGACAAAGCATCGGGTTCTTTCTTCCCATGTTGGATCTTTTAATCTTGATTCTTCGCATTCTCCAATCTAATTTGAAAAACAGTGAGAAAGGAGAAATAGCAGAGCTGAGAATGTCTCGTACTTCACAGAACCAACCAAACACCCATAGCCTTGGAAAAAGGGTATTCAGCTTCACCAAGTTGCTTACTAACTTGCTTAACGTCAGAGTCCCACCATGTGGAATCTGCAGAAAGAAACCTGCATATGCAAAACATATGTGCACAAATGTCATGGCAATGGCTAATTAGAGTAAAAGAAGAGAGAAAAAAAAAGAAGCAGATTGTTAGAAAAATTAACGGCAGGGAAATAAGTACACAAATCAACACATATTGTCAAGGCTCAAAAGCAGAGATGGTTGAGGCTTGGAGCTGATGTAGGGTCTGCTCTGAGAGGGATCTGAATTAAAAGCTTCAGTATGCAGAAGAAATTGAAGATGTGTTTTTCAGAGGGAACATGTGACTGTTTCTCCAGCATTCTGTAGCCTACACTGTGTCTTCAGCAAGTTGGTCACCATGGCAACCTGAAATTTTTCAGTAAGACAATTTTCTTGGTAAAATTTGAGGGATAGATTTGGGTCAGAAAGGAATGTCCACACATGTGGAAGTGATGAAATAGAGCGACCTTCTGAGAGCACCTGGGTCCTACCCAGCCCTGGGGAAGGGGGTGCAGGCCTAAGGACCAGGACCAGCCACTACACTCACCACTGGGGACCAAGTGACAGGAGAAGACACAGGAACCAGTGGGAATATGGGAAATTCCAGCTCAGTTTAAGGAAAAAAACCTTCCCCCAAGAGTACTGCTCTCTAGAGCCCAAAGAGGATCCACATGCCAGCATATACAAACCTGAGCCACACAGCCTCAGGAACCTGGCCTTGCTTTGAGGGGTCCTTCCCCCCCTGCCTGATCCTTTGACAAGCTCGTTTCTAGTGCTTCCAAAATCCAACCCTGAGCAGCAGTTTGAGGGCAGCCGAGAGCCCTTTCTGCTCCTCCAGTGAGGGAAGTTCCATTGGTTTTCTCCAGGAATTTGATTAAGGGGCTTGTGAAGCCTAAGGGATCATCCAAGCTCTGCATCCTCCAGACGCAGGGACAATTTCCTCCACGCAGCTGTGGGTCTAATCCTTCAAAACAGATCAAGAAGAGATGGACAAAGGGCAAGACGAAAATTGCTGCTGCTCAGAGTAGCAACAGGAGATTGTCACAGCAATTCCCTTCTCTGCCAGAACAGCTCTGACCTCTGCCAGGAAAGGCCCTGCCTGGCTCTGTTTCAATCCCAGTCCTTTCCCTGTGAGCAGATGAAAGCTTGCTGTCCTCCCTGCCACAGCATATCACAGCTACCAGGTGCCACCAAGGGCTCAGCCATCACAGACAGGCTCTGTGGCAGGAGGGATGAAACAGCAGCCTGTCATTCCCCAAGCTCTCACTCCCAAAGCTCCGACACGGAGCTCACGCGCTCTGCAACAGATCCCACTCGCCAGGGATTTTCCTTCCCTCTGGTGCTTCACTTTATTTTTTTTTTCTTTCCCCAGAAAGCAATAAGCTGCTTTTTGAGAACTGTAGAAGGTGGGTGGGTGAATGAGAGAGGAAAAAAACTCAGAGGCATGGGGATATGAAAGCGCAACTAAAATCAAGCCACTCCTTAATGAGGACACTGGGGATTAAAGCTCATTTTCCCATGCCCCAGGAGGGCTTTGCACCCTGCTCTGGTATTATATCAATAGAAGACAGATAAACAAGCATCCATTTCACTCTGAAGGTCAGATCCTGGATTTCTTGGTATGGAAAGAGGCCCAATGCTGCCAGTTACTCTTCCATTGAAAAAAAAACCACAACCAAACCCTAATATTCAAGGGTGCCAGTCTATTCACTTCTGCAAGGCTGTTAATCAGCTGCTAATAACTACCATATTCCTGCCAGCAGCAAGGTGTGCCAGGTAAGAGAGAGTAATTGTAAGGAAAATACAGAAAACTCGAGGAGGAAATCACAGCCTTGATGCTGGAGGGATTTGATTTTCTGCTAAAAAATGCTTTCCTTATGTGATTAGAGTAAGAGAATATCAGCATTCACCATATACGTGCATATTGCAAAGGCAACTTGCTGCTTTATCTTCCTGTTCAAGGCCATGAAGCACTACTGGTGAGATTCCAGATAAAAGCCACAGGTCAGGCTTCCCCCTGCACAGAAAAACTTCCTTAGGCAGGTGGTTTTGGAACAGCAGAGCATTGAGACCCATTTGCTTTCTGGGCTTCGAGGTGTTTGACGAGTTTGAGCTATTTTTAGGCTCCTTTTTGCAATTCAGAGCCACAAACATCGTTAAGCAGGTTCCAGCTTAAGAGAACCCCAAATTCCTTGCCCTGTGCAGACTCAAAAAGCCTCTCATATTATTTGTATGCTAGACAGCATCTTTTCCAAGCACATTCCCCAGGAGTTCAGCAGCATCACTAACACGCCCTTTGGTGCTCCCACAGGCTCTGAACATCCCCGGCCAAGCTCACTGATGACCCCAACCCTTGTTGCAGGGTTGTCCACAGGTGATCAGCTCTTGTACCGAGGAGCAGCTTTCCCTCCTCCTGTCACTCCCTCACGTGCCTTTTGTTGGAAAGACTGGCCCACAGCATGCAGTGGGAATTTTAGATCTCTCCAGTTCTGGAGATACGCTAGGAAATAAATCCAGAAAATCTGATTAGGACCTGTCACTGAAATAAGCTCATTAATCATTGATGGATTTTTCATATGCAGTTTCTAACTCCTGCAAGCCCCAGCAGACCAGTGGATCTAACAACTGCAGACTTAAAAAAGTTCTTTATGTAACAATGGCACTGATTTCCTCCCCCCCCCCTTGAATATTTAGCACACTCTAATAAACAAAAGAAGCTACAAAGCACCAGTGAGATCATTTAGCCCAGCTTCTTGCACAGAGTTCCAGGCACAGAATTCCCCTGAAATAACACCTCTAGCCAAAAAGATGAGAAGATCTGGTTCAGAAAACCTAAAATCCAGCATGAAAAACTCTGTCAGTCACTTGCCTGAGTAATTTTTGCAGTAGCCAGTTATCCATCCTGTTGTGTAAAAAAAAGGAATCACATGTCATTTCTCACCTGAACTTGTCTAGCTTTGCCTGTCAGCACCAGGCTCTTTGAGGAAGAGATGAAAGTCTTCTATTATTAAATTGCTATTTCCCCAGCCTCCCCCAAAATATTCTCAGCTAAGCTAAGCCAGCTGAGCTGCTGCCATTTCAAAACTCTCGTTTCCCATGCCCCACCAAACACTGCCATCACAGTATGGCTTGTAATAATTCCAGCCAGGATCACACAGGTGCCAAAACCCGGGGAAAGCGGGCGGGAATAACTTTTCCTGGCCTCAAACACATGAAATCATTTGGGGCTGTGTGGCTCCAAATTAAACCCAGGGGTGAAACCCTCTCATTCTGGAAACAACTCAAATCAAGAAGACCTTTCTCCACACTTTACAGCTAAAAAGTCAAATTGATAAAAAAAAGAGAAACAGGGAGCTTTGAGGGAGTTTGATATTCTCTCCCAATCTCATGGGGTATCTGCCTCTGAGATGTCCAAAATCCAGGAGGACACTGGGATGAAACACAGCTCCACAAATGACACTTGCAACCCATCTTCCAGAGCAAGCAGAAAGTCTTAAATTTCGAGCTGCTCAGGATTTCAAGAACCATACATTCCTCACCATTTTTTTCACTTTCTCTTTCAAGAAGATTTTACAGATTGCTTTTGGCTTGGAGATTTCTTAGACATTAGATACAGGAACACAAAGCATTTGTGTTAAAGCTTAACAGGCATAGCTCTTCTTGAGAGCCAAAGGATTAAAGGTACCTGACACTTCCCAAATGCAAAGGAAAATTAGGATTCCTGTAGAAGACAGGAAGTGATTAAAACAGCCTCTTGGCTTTAGTGGCTCATGGATAAACTAAAATAGCACATGGATTTAATGAAATAATTTTTACAAACAGAGCAGAATGCCTGGGTTTTCCTTTCATATCTTGTTTCCAGGAGAGCAGGGGGTTTGTCTCCTTCAGCACAGGGAGGTTTACTACAGATATGCTTATGAGTAACATGTGTTAGGTTTTGGTGACTCATCGGTGTTAAATTCTGTTTAAAACTGGCTCCAGTGCAGGAGGCTTGAGCTGAGCTCAGTTCTGGCCCTCTCCAGGGACAGACACCTGCTAATGATTTGTACCCCAGTGAGTGCTTGAAGCCTTTTTAATCACAAAGACATAGCACTACCTTCCTTTCCCAAATGCTTTAAACCTGCTTAACATGCCAAAGAACAAGCTCATTCTGTGTTGCCAAAACTCTTTCAAAGCATTCCCCTTCAGATTAAATCCCTAAAATGGCAGGTAAGATAGCAGCAGTAATTAGAGTTGCTCCCACACAGAGCCTTAGAAACAGGTCAGTAAAGGTGGATTGTGTAGGATAGGCCTTGCCAGCTCCAATAAATCATTGGTGTCTTTCATTATCATTCCCATTAATTGGGCTCCAAACATCTCCTTCACAGATTATCCGCAACAAATGCTTTTCCTGGGCAAACAGCACTGTGGTTCTCCCAGACCCATTACACCGCAGTCAGTTTTTGTTTCATAAGCCATGTGTCAAGGTTTTTTGGGATAAGGTCCAAAGAATCCGAGAAACATCAGGCAGAAACATGTGTCTGCCAATAAAGAGACACAGAATCACAGAAGAATTGCTAAGGTTGGAAAAGATCATCAAGGCCCAGCATCACCACCTTGTTCACCACTAAACCATGTCCTCAGGTGCCACATCCACAGGTTTTTTGAACCCTTCCAGGATGGTGACTCCTCCAATGCCCTGGGGAGTCTGTTCCAAAGCTTTACAACCCTTTTGGTGAATTTTATTTCCCCTAACATCCCATATAAACCTCCCCTGGCACAGCTGGAGGCCATTCCCTCTCCTCCTCTCCCTTGTTCCCTGGGAGTAGAGCCTGACTCCCCCCAGCTCCCCCCCTTCCTGTCAGGGAGTTGCAGAGCCAGAAGGTCCCCCCTGAGCCTCCTTTTCTCCAGGCTGAGCCCCCCCAGCTCCCTCAGCCGCTCCTGCTGCTCCAGCCCCTTTCCCCAGCTCCGTTCCCTTCCCTTGATGTGCTCCAGCCCCTCAATGTCCTTGGAGTGAGGCAAATGAAGGCAAAAAGTCTTGAACCCTGTGTCAAACTCACACTCAGCAGATTGATTTTCTTGCACCCTGTTCGCACTACTGCACCCCAGCACACTCGTGGGAGTATGTGGGATGGCCATAGACATATATGGAACTCAAAAGGGAGTGATGGCCATGAGATCTGTAGCTGGGATGTCTTCTGAGCAGTGAAGGAACAAGAGCGCCTTCCTCCTGAGCAGTCACTTCCCCACCCTGCCCCAAAAACTGCAGACCTAGGGTGTATAAATGCTCCACTTGGAATTGCACTCACCCAAACCACATTATTCCATCTTGTCGGAGCTGAGTCTGTGCCAATCCCCGTGGCTGCCACCTCTTCCCCCCGAAGGCAAGGCTTCAGGAGCAAAGACATCTTCTAAAAAGGAACATGGTGAGATACATGAGCATTAGATGCTTTCAAACATGTTCATTGTTGCTCAGAGCTGTGGCTGCCCAAGAAAGTGTCAAAGGCCAGGTTGGACAGGGCTTGGAGAAACCTGGGCTAGTGGAAGGTGTCCCTGCCCCATGGCAGAAGGTGGAATGAGATGGGCTTTAAGATCCCTTCCAACGCAAACCACTCTGGGATTCTAAAATAAATAATATTCAGCATCAGCACGACATCGGGGCACCCTCGAGGCTGCACACAAGTCCTGGTTATGAGAGCACAAATCTGGCAATCCAGACACTGTATAAACCAGCACACAAGTCCTGGTTATGAGAGCACAAATCTGGCAATCCAGACAACGCATAAACCTCAGCGTGGCCCCGCTTGGCAGCAAAATGCCCTCCTTGTATCCTCAACAAAGGAAAAACCAGCTGCCCACGACCTAAGCAAACTGCTGATCTTCCACATTGTCTTCTCCCTCAGAGAGATGACCTTGAGATGCTACAAAAGGCAAACACAGGCCAAGGCAGTCCATCATGGCAGGGCTGTCTTACCTTCCCTGCGAGCGCTGCCTCCCCGGCTGGGGGTCATTTTCGGCACATACATCATCTGTAAATTAAAGACATTTCTTTGAAAAGCTCATCTGTCAACAGGTCCACCTCTCCCTTTCCTCAGGCACTGGGTGATCACTAAAGTAATTCCAAACCTGATCATTAATATTGCTGAGAACAAGTATTGCTGATAGCCCTGTGAAGTAGTGGCGTTGCTAAGGAAGTTGGTGGTTGCAGGGAGGCTCTCAGATCCAAATCCTTCGTGCCTCAAACCTTACCTCACCTCCCTGCAGTGCAGATACAGCCAGGAGAGCAGAACCTGCAGAGCTCCTTCTCTGTTGCAGCCACAGGGGGAACCCCCTGGACACATTTATCCAAAGTTGTCTTTTTAAAAGCCTTGTTTTATTGGTCTCTAACCAAGTAAGGAGATCCCACTGGTCATGATCACTTGACTTGTTCAGCCTGGAGGAGACTGAGCTCAGCCCTCATCGGGGTCTGAGCTTCCACCGGCAGGGCAGCTCCATCTCTGCTCTGTGTGACCACTGACAGGACCTGAGGGAATGGCTGGGGCTGTGCCAGGAGAGATTTAGGCTGGATCTCAGGAAAAGGTTCTTCCCCCAGAGGTGGTTGGGTACTGAACAGGCTCCCCAGGGCAGCGGGCACAGCACCAAGGCTACCAGAGCTCCAGAAATGTTTGGACAATGCCCTCAGGGACAGGGTGGGATTATTGGGGTGTCCCATGCAGGGCCAGGAGTGGGACTTGGTGATCTTTGTACCCACAAAGATCTCCCTCCAGCTCAGGAGATCCTGTGATCCCAGCCTCAGTCAATCACAATTCCTTCTCCCCAAATACCACCACAGCTGCACTGACACCATTTCAGCCAGGCTGAGGTCCCTTGAGCTGAGTTACAGCCCTCGATCAAGAGCTACAGTGCACTTGCTGCAGCCCTCTGCAGAGGGAAACACTTTCCTTTTCAAGTGCAATAATTCCCTTTGGCATTTATTCCTTATTAACATTGCAGGAAATACATTCCCCAGCAGGACTAGTGGCAGCAGCACTGAATTTTAAGTGATGGTTAAGGAAGACTTGCAGGAAGATGTCTGCTGGTAAAAACAAGTGTTTGTGCTGAGTGCTCTATTAAACAACAGTTATATCAACCCACAGAGGACTGACTGAACATCCAGTGCTGTGTTCCACATTTCAGGGTTTCACATGCAGCCTTTCTGCTCTGCAAATCAAGACTTCCTGTGGTGCACCCACTAGCTAGCTCTGAATAGAGATTTTGAGGAAAAAAAAGAATAAATGACAAGCTAATTTGGCAATTCAAGCCAAGTGAAGGTGACACAGAATCCTATTTGTTTACAAGGCAGCTGGAGAGGGACTTTTCACAAGGGTTTGTAATGTTCACAAGGGCTTGTAGTGACAGGACAAGGGAGAATGGCTTCCCACTGCCTGAGGGCAGGGTTAGATGGGATATTGGGAAGGAATTCTTCCCTGGGAGGGTGGGGAGGCCCTGGCACAGGTTGCCCAGAGAAGCTGTGGCTGCCCCATCCCAGGAAGTGTCCAAGGCCAGGTTGGACAGGGTTTGGAGCAACCTGGGATAATGGGAGATGTCCCTGCAGGGGGTGGGACTGGGTGAGCTTTCAGATCCCTTCCAACCCAAACCACTCTGTGATTCTATGATTCAAATTATTAATTTAGTCTCTTACATTCTACAAAATTAAAAGCTTTCCGCGTGCTTCCTTGAGAAACTTTGTTCCCTCAAGCACAACACCCAGTGTAGAGCTGTGTTCAAAGTGCAGGCACCCAGGTTCAGGAGTCAGTTCACGGATAAAGTGGACGCTGGCATGATTTGAAAACAGCCAGCAGGAATTCCCGGGTTTGGTCAGCATTTCATCACACCCTAAAAATCAAACAAGAGCTCAAAAAGGGAACACAGAGATCTCAGCAGAGCAAACGTCCTTCAGCTGTGCTGTGATGACACGCTCAGCTGAGAGCTGGGTTTGGTGTCAGAGCCAGAGCCATCAGGATTTGTTTCTGTCCAAGACATGCTAATCACTGTTCTCCAGGCACATACTCAAGGAAGGAAGTGTTGGAGCTGGTGGGTGTGCCAGGCTGCTGCAGAGATTCACACATTAGCAGGGTCAAACCCCTCAGCTGATGGAAAGGGAAGTGTAACAGGACACAGCTGGATTTCAAACCACAGTCAGTTTTCTGATCAAGACCTCCAGTTTTGGAACTGCAGTTCACACACAGACACCCGACTTCTCTTTAAAAGAGGATAAGAAGACTTTTCTTTCCCCCAGGCAGCCAAAAGCAGTTTTCCCTTTCCTTACCTCCTCGCTGCTCAGTGACTCAGAGCTGAACGTGCCACGATGGCACCGCACGATGACACTGGAAATCTGCTCCCCAGAGACTTCCACAACACTCCTGCAGGAAGCAGTTGGCTGTAACAGAATGGAACAGAGCAAATCTCAGAGGGCAAACCTCCAGTACATGAGAGTTTCCTTGGGGGTGGGAACCTGTAGAAGGAGTTAGAAAACAAACTCCAAGAGAAAGAAACTCAAGCGAGATTATACAGGACTACACAAAGGTTATTCCTCCACAACCACTTGTTGGCTGTACAAAGCCTCGAGCCTGCTCGAGGTAGGAGAAAACCTCCACATCCTTTTCACTGCCCTGGCCTCACCAAGCACAACAAACAGGGGCAGTGCAGGGCTATGCCAATGGCAGCTCCAGCTCTGAAAGTTAAATTACCTTTGTTTAAAGAAGTTGCCTCTGCAATTTGACAGAAGCTCCGGCAAAACCTGCACTCAAGTTTGGAAAACACACCCTCACACTATCTTTCACACTGTATTGCCCCAAGAGGAAAAGAGGGATGGTGTCTGTTTAGGATCCAGGGATAACACCGTAGCAGCCAACCCTTGTGTTTTTAAGGAAAACCAAGCAATAACTATCAGTTCTGTGTGGTGCCATCTACACACACACACCAGCTGCTTAGCTCACGAGTAGAGATGCTCAAAGGGACTCCATTCCTCTCTTTATGGGGTAAACTGCCTCCTGTGGGAGTAACACTATTCATAAGCTGAGAGGAAAGCCTTTGCACCTTGCTGACCGCCTTTCCAGATCCCTGCTCTTCCCTAAAGACTGTGCCCAGGAAGGACAAGTAAGTTTGGCAGCCATTCCTAGAGGGAAAAGGGGTGAGAAGAGTTCAGCTTGGAGCAGCATAAAGGCAGAGATAATCTCTGTGGAAGTCTGATGCACAGGGACTCAAGAGCTGCTCCACATGCTTTGGAAGATCTGTGCCAGCAGTTAGGATACAAGCCCTCAGAAACTCTCAATGGGAGCTGTGATTTGGCCAAAATAACTGTGCACAAAGAAGTCCAGACTCAAAGGTGACATATTTCCACCAAAGCTGGTGATTTGAGAATCAAGACCAGAGCAAGAACTGCATCAAGAACCTGTTTATTTGAGGCTGAGAGTTGAAGAGCTGAAAGCCATCAGCAGAGAGAGGGAATCTGTACTGCATGGGAAGAGAAAGCTTTACCTGGTGCCCAGATGCATGATAGGCTCAAGCAGGTCAAACATCAGCTCTTCCACCATCTTATCTTAAAGAAGCCATTCCTTCTGGGATTTGGCCCCAGAACACACAGACACTTTTCCTACATTCTGCTCCAAGACACAAATCCTATTTTCAGCTCACAGCAGTCCCTGTATTCCCCACTGACCAGGCAAAAGACTATCCCAGCACTGACCCTTCCCACCTAACACCCACTCCATGCTGTGGGTTGTATCTGTTTAGGCTTTCAGAAAGCCAGTCATTCCTCATTTTTTCAGCACCAGTAGCATTCCCAACACATCCTGAGAGCATCCTGCAGGGAGGGGAGGGCTCCCATTCCTACCAGAGGCACTTACCACATAAGGCCCAGTTTTGAAGTCACAGGTGAAGGGATCTCTCCCTGAAGCCTTCAAGCACGTGGTCTCACGGATGCTGAACTGCAGCTCTAGTCTGTAGGCATCACTGTCCCACATGTCAACCTGGTAAAAGGAAGGTCAACACAACATTTAATTAGTGCTTGTCACTCTTCTGTGCCCACTGCACGGCAACCTTGCCTTGTTTTGTCAAGCAGAAGGTGACAGGAGGGCATTAGGCATCAGTGCCCAATTTAGAGCGGGTTGCTGCGTGTGAGAAAGGCTTGTTTTATTGGTAATGGCAACACAGGACAGTTTTCCATGGGGATTTCACTTGAAACACCACTCATTGGGGTTGAATCCCACTTGAATCTCACTCCACTTGAGTCTTCCAGTCATTGCTGGATCCTGATACTACTCAGAGTTGTGGGGACCTAAACTGTCAAAGGCAGATGAGCACAGCATTACCCCTGCATGTTACCCATTACCCCTGCATGTTACCCCTTCTTTTGTGAGAACCAGGGTGCCAAGAGCTCTGTTTTGGATATCCTGACTGCTGGGAGGTCTGTTGGAAACACCTGGCTTGGAAAGTAAATCCCATGAGTGCAAGCAAGTGGTTTAATGGAGCTTATAGAGGCACTCCATGTCAGCTCAGGTGCCTCAATGGGCAGCATGCACACACCACCAAAAGATTTAGAGAGCTTGACTGCTTTTTGTTATTTTTTTTCCTCCTTCTCACAGTCTAATCAATGTTTTAGCTCAGATGAGAGACTAAAAAAAAAGCAACCTTCCCTCCCCCCCAAAAAAAACCCCAACTAACAACAAATCAGCATTGCTTTCAAATATTTGTTTGTTTTTTCTCCAGACTATATAAATTCAGCAGTCATTTTGTCATTCATTCTTGCAGAAGACTTGAAACATGCCACCTACAGAAACAGTTTTGAGGTTGTTCAGGAGCATGGATGTGCTAACTTTGAATTAAGAAGCTTAAACTCCTTAACTCTAGGTATCCAATACAATTCTTAGCACCACAAGTTAAAACAGATAGAGGTTTACAGCCTGCATTTAGACTGCAGCAGATTTAAACTACAATTGGTGGTTTAGACAGGTGACAAATACAGATTGGAGAAAGAATGTGTGGTGGCATTTAATCAGCTGAGACCTTTAGATGAACCAGGTTGCTTGATACCCAAAGCAAAGTGGTTAGCTGGAGGTATTTAAAACCAGCACTTTTGAACAAAATCCTACAAGACATCCTTCAAAGGTTTCTGTTCTAAGGGCAAAAAACCTGAACTCCTGAAGTATTTTTAATTACAAACCAACACACAAAGGATTTTTGTGTTCCTAAAGCCATGATTCCAGATAATGCCCCAAGCCCACCCTCTTCCAAGCAGTGAATTCCAATGAAATCTGGGTTTCCAGAGCTGAGTGGAACAGGGTTTTGCATCCCAGCAAAGCAAGTTTCAGGTAAAGGATCCCCATTGTCTGTACACTTACTCCCGTGACGTGGCTCCTGACAACACCATACAGGTTCCTCCCCCAGGACTGGGAATTGATCCGTGCAATGGAAGCATTGAGAGCCTCTTCCACGACAGGGAGTTCATAGTCATAGGCTGGAAACCCTGAGAGGGAAGCACAGCTCCATTAGGAGTTCGTTGTGGACTTGTATTTTCTCCCCAAAAGCACCTTAAGGAAGAGGACGTGGCTCCAACTTACCAGAGCATGAGAAAACGCACAGTGTGAGGAGAAAAATTAGGACCCTCATGATGTGTCTCTCAAAATTCTCCAGTCTTTTCCCTTTCTAAGCAAGGATTTCCAGTGCATATTCCTGTCTTTATATAAATGCAGCCTTGATCCCACGCCTGACCTCCCCATGCCCAAGCCCTTCTACAAACATTGCACTTTAAACAGAATTGATCCCAGGATAAATATTTGCTGTCAGCTTTTCTCCCTTTAGCAGTAGCTCCCTGATAACGGATGGGCTGCAGTGCCTTTTTCCCAGGACTGAATTCCCAATAGGAGAATTCAGGGAGCATTGAATTCCCAATATCTCCAAAGCCAAAGATGGAATATAGTTATTCTGTTCACTTTTAGCCATTATTTTTCCATGGGGTGAGACAACTCTTTCCTTAGCACTGGACCCAGCACCTTCATCAGGTTGGACATCAGGAGGAACTTCTCCATGGAAAGGGTGGTCAGGCCTTGGAAGGGGCTGCCCAGAGAGGTGGTGGAGTCTCCACCCCTGGAGGTGCCCAAGGAAGGACTGGCCGTGGCACTCAGTGCTCTGGGCTGGGGGACAAGGTGGAGGTCAGGCACAGGGGGGACTCCATGGGCTGGGAGGGCTTTTCCAACCTCAGTGATTGTGGAATTCTAATCAGTGTCTAATCCCTTTGGCACTGCAGGTCTGATGGACACAACCTCACCCTCCACAGCTCCTACTGGTGTTGCTGGCAGTGGACTTTGAGAGTGAAGCAACAAAAAGCACAAGTTACAGCAAACAAAACCTCAGTTACACACCCCTGACGGGCATTCTGGAACACCACAGCCTGAAGCAGAACCTCAGAGGCCTCACTGCGTTACCTGGAGCCTTTGAAACTTTAAATATTTAGATTTCCTGTGCCTGCCAGGTCAGCAGGAACAGCTCTTACAGGGCCACTGGCACAACGCAGTAGCTGATGCAAGGCAAATATTACCTCCAGCCCCAAAGATTGGTACCTAAAAAGCCACAGAGCTATGTCTATTTTAAAATGTATTCATTTATTTATGTTTTGCTGACCCTACTGATAATTTTCAAGTTTTTCTCCCTATCTCTGGGGCACATTTTCCATCAGTTCTGCTGTTATATCCTTGCATTTAGTGAACGTTACCTGCAATCACCAGCCAAACCAAGCCCTGGAAAACTTGAAATCTTGGATGAATCCAGGCAAAACATTCACCTCCTGCTTTTGAAGCCATTGGCTGTCAAGTACAGTCGCTAGTGTCATACCCTGTCCCCTGTGAGTTTCTTGCTGCCATTTAAAGGGGCTTGCCAATGAAAACAATGTTTTAAAATTTTTGTAATTCCCCCACAGGCATTAAGATCCTTGACCAGATAAATCACAAGCCCAAACTTCAAGGATTCTTAAATACCAAAGCTGTTATTTTCACCTCTGGATTTCAGAGTCTCTGAGCGGTCACACAAGGTTTTAGACATTAAACAAAAAGTAACTGGTGGTGAGCTCAAGGCTTAAATCAGCATATATTTTAGATCATTACTTCAGTCATGAACAGCTAAACCAAGAAATACCCAAACAGGCTATTCAGGGCCCTGCTTTGTCTCATGTCCGGCACAGCAGCAACGGGGAATTCAATGAGGGATTCAGAAGTCTCGAGGTACACGTGGAACCACAAAGACTTTCAGGTGCTGCAATGGACCAACCTGGTGGCTGGCGTTGGGCTGCACAGGGCTGAGCTCAAAATATAGGATCTCACAGAGGCTGAAGGGTTATACATCCCATTGGAAGTGCCTCTTCCTAGTTCTGCGAGCCTGCAAAATTCAACTTGAACTGATATTTTCACATTAGCTCGAAATCCATGGGGGAAAAGGTAAAGAGGGATTAGTCCAGTTCTTCCAATTCTGGTGCAGGGTGTCCCTGCTCATGGCAGGGGGGCAGGAACTAGATGAATTTTAGGGTACCTTCCAAGCCAAACTGTTCTGGGATTCTATGATTCCCCAAGCTGAGAGTAAAACTACAATTTTACTCAAGTTCTCAGCTGCTGTGCAAACATTGCAGCATCAAAGGACATTTAAGACCCAATTTAGCCTTATATAGACACAATACCAACTGCTAATCCCAATTTTAGCATCTTTAATGTCACTGGAGACCCTGGAATTGGTGCAAGTTCCTGATCCCGACATTAGACAGTCCAAAGGCGCTGACAGAGCCAGGGGAGCTCAGTCTTGCTGAAAAAAGCCACATATTTAAACTGAGAGAGGGTAGACTGGTTAGATATTAAGAAGGAATCCTTCCCTGTGAGGGTGGGGAGGCCCTGGCACAGGCTGCCCAGAGAAGCTGTGGCTGCCCCATCCCTGGAAGTGTCCAAGGCCAGGGTGGACAGGGCTTGGAGCAACCTGGGCTAGTGGAAGGTGTCCCTGCCCATGGCAGGGGATTGGACGGAGATATTTTTTTAAGATTTTTTAATTTTTACATTACATTTTGTAGACCAGGAGCACCCTCAGCTCTGGGAAGTCTTGTTCATCAAGGGATTCCCTGTTGGGATTCACACACTCCAGTCCCAGCTGCCATCCCCTACCTGTGCTGTCCCCTTGCCCACACATCATATATGTACAGGGCACTCCATGATGCATCCAGACCACAGTGCTGGCCAGCTGCTTCCCACATCCCCTGTCCTCCTCTTGGATAGACTCCCTGGACTACCTGGTTCCAGTGGGTGCTGGTCCTTCCTGCAACAAGGATAATGGTGGTGCTCGGTTTCAGCTACAGGAGAAGCTTCAGCTGTTCCACAAGTACAGCCAAGGGGAGCAAGACAAGATATCCTGGAGTCCAAACAGCCAGCAGTGATTACTTATACCCCCACAGAAGGAAGAAATGGTACGAAGAAAATCTGTTGGACCTCTTATGTGTCCCTCATTTTAGATTTATAGAGCAAACCAGCTCCAAGACCAGAGCAGAAAAGGCCCGAGCAGGAAAATCATGGGGGCCCTGCTGCAGCCCTCTGTGTTATCGGTCTGCCCTCATTCTGTCACCACCCAAACAAGACACAGAGACACAGCCTGATGTCCTGGGCAGAGGGCACAGGTCAGGCTCTCTCTGAGCTCAGACAGAAGGTTCACAGCATCAGGGACCACTCCTGAGAAACAGCTGCATCCCATGATCCACCTGAGGATCCAGAGTAGGTCCTGGTTGACCATGCCAAGTAGGCACCTTGCCCCATCACCTCTCTTCGGAGGCAGGGACCTTGCAGGACCATCTTAACTTCTTGTAGTTCTACTGTTTTCATCGACCCCCTTGTACATACACAAAGCTTTACCCCCCTCAGCCCCCATGGTGGCGGCAGCACAGGAGTTGAACTTTTGATCCCTGTCACCTGACGCAGCTTTAACACTTAGTCTGCCAAAGCCAATTGATCCTCTCTGGTTCACAGAGCCAGTGCAACACTTCCTCCTCCATTTATGCTCGGAGGAAACCCTTGGAAAAAAATCCTTCATCAGATTTCACAATGAACTCACAAAAGTTCATCCTCAAGCATCATTTACTAGATGCTTAGACCTTGCCTCTTAGACCTGCTTACAGCTAAACCAGCCAGCCATTTCCAAGTGAACTCTCATCCCTTGCAGTGTCTTCCTGGGTATGTAATTATTTTATCATGTTTGTTGCAGCATGCAGCTGGCTGTTCCAACCCATAACTTGCTGTACTGGGTTTGACTGGGATGGAGTTAGTAACCAAGAGAATGTTGGTAACACGAGGATGTCACAGCTACTACAGCCAGGCTGGTGACAAGTAATTGCTTTTGCATCACTGTTTTTCTTTTTTACTCTTCACTTGTTAAACTGTCGTTATCCCAGCCCAGAATTGCAGTTTTTTCCTTGCTTTTTCGCTTTCCTCTCTCTCTCTCATCCCAGCACGTGAGGCTTTGCTGCCACCTGGAGTCAACCTGCCGCAGCCGCATCCGCGGCAATCCATCACCCGCGAAGTGGTGCTGCCTGTTGCCCGAGCGCCTGCATTTAGCAGACAAATCTGACTGCGGCGACCAGCTCCAAGGAAAAAACCTCAGTCACTTCTCCTGAGGATCAAAACCATCACGGACGCCAGTGACTCTTGGCATTTAAGAATTTGGGCGTCAAATCGAGAAGGCCGAAAGCCTGCAGAAAATTACAGAAGGGGTGAAGATTGTTGTCCTTGGATTTATGGATTTTACAGTTTAAGTTTATGCCTCGCTGACCCCGTTAAGGGCTTGCAGTGAGCTTTGGAGTTTGTTGGTTGGGGTTTTTTCCGCTTTTAAGTGGAGATTCTCAAACTGCAAGAGGCAAGGCCTTAAGGGAAACCTGCTGTCGCAGGTCTTAAAGCAAAAGTTATCCAAAGCAACTAATTCAATACAAGCACAGCTCCAGCAAGGCAGGGACACTTGTGTGTTTAAGTTGGCCTGAAGACAATGTTTGTGGGATTCTGCTACCAAGTGTTTCCAATCTAAGCCCACCACGTATTTACAGAGATGAATTTTCACAGTTCCCCACCAGTGTAAGCACTAGGACCCCCAGCACGTGTACACAAGCCACGTACAAACCACTGCACAAACACCCCAAATACTTCATAGCTCCAGCTCTACACTGATACCAGTCACAAATCATAAAACCCCATTTCTAATATCCGAATAAATGTTGTCTATTTGCTCGCTATTTTGAGAGCAGAACAGGAAAGAAAGGTGAAGTTTGTGAATAAATTATTCATTACAAATTAGCCCTTGCTTTTGGCAATGGAGCACCCTCCAGCCCAAACAGGACATACTGTAGAAACTTGGGAATATGTCACCTTGAGCAGTTCTGCTGCAGTCAATCCAGTCATGAGGTTACAACCTCACCCTGCACTTTTGTTTGTGCTGAAACCATCCTGAATTTACGAATCCAAGATTTCACACAAAGCAAAAATAAAAAATATCGCAATCAAGGGATAATTACAGCCCATGATTAATTTCTAAATTACATGAATCTCTTTTCAAAATATCTGCATACATGCCACCAGCCTAGGCAAGCAGAACACTTGCAGCCTTCCCCTACTCATATCTTCTTC